CAATACACCGCTACTCACACATACACACGTCAGTCGTGGGGTATGGAAAAGTAGCGGCAACGTCTACTTTTTAACTACACAACTGCAGCACCACAGACCATTACACTAACTCACTCACCCAGTGACGAGGATGTCGAAGGAGGTGGGCTCGGCTTGGCGCACGTAGCCGCCCATGGCTGGCCAGCCCATGTCGCTCACGTGTTCCCGTGGAGGCGGGCTGGTGATCCTGACCTCCTGCAGGCTCTGGTAGAGCTCCGTCGAACAGCCCTCGAACAGACGGAGACAGGTGATGGGGGAGGAGTGGAGACTGAACAGGTACGGCTTGCGGATCTGCGGGCACCTGCAGGGCAGAGAGGGACCTCTCTTCACCTCTCTTCTTCTAAGTATGTGTGCTATTAAACTCTCGTGCATTTCTTTTGAGCAACACACAGCTAACAATTCAAGTATTTACAAATAGAGAGAGGGAAGAGAGTCGGTTTAAGGGAGTAAGTTTGAAACGAAATGTCTATGTTACTCAATAAGCAAGAAGAGAGATGTCTACATTTCGCCATAAGAACGAGAGACTCACTTTGGCTCCTCCAGGTTGAATGCCAGTAGCTCCTGCTTGCACAGGACTATCACGGCTGCCTGCCCTCTCTTGCTCTTCTCGTCTTTGGAAGGACACGAAAAACTCATATATATTTTGAAATTGGTGAAATGTTTGCAGGCATCACACATAGACTGCATGCATAGCAGCAGCTCCACAGCATTCCGCAAAGTTGTGTTTGTCCTTTTCCATGTTTTCGGTCGCGAAGATGCCTTAGTTTTCGAAATTTTAGAGCACAAGCCACACGATAACAGTGATGTAATCCACGACGGGAGAGGTGAAGTCGAGGGCGATGTGATCGGTTCCGTAGACGACTGTGACTGTGTGATGATCATCGTCGTCGTCCGCTGGGGAGACCGCACTGAACAGGATGAGTGGGTTGGCGTCCGTGTTTACAGCCAGAGTATCTTGGAGATGCAGCACCTGCTGGGGCCTTCTGTGAGAGGTGGTGTATGGTGTCACGTACATACATCCTTATTATAGAGAGAGAGGGTCTGCGTATGTGCCTCTGTTTTCTATCATCTGTAGATGGGAGATGGGAGAGGTGGGGGAGCGAGAGAGGCGAGCACAGACAAAGTGTGGCGATTAGAGGAAAAGCAACTAAATGAGTGCATGAATGGGACAAGACATAGTGCATAGATGGGGATAAAGTAAACAGAATTCAGGAGTCATGTAAAATACTGGGGACATACTAGTCATGAACAAGAAGGACTACAACAATGCGAAAGCTCGACCTCGCGCAGATACTTATGGTCAGTAGACTGACAAAACCTACGGCCATTAATCCCGCAGACCGGCCTACAAGGCTCAGCATTAAAGATGACAGGATCGTGTGTATAAGGACGTACCTGCGCAGGTGGAAATACTGAGTGGGACCCTCGTGAGCAATGGAGCTACTGGTGGACCAGTAGTATATACTGGAGTCCGAGTGAGCAGTGACAAACTTCTGACCCTCGTGTTGCCAGCTAATGGACTCCTAAGTGGCTTTGGGAAGGGAGGGGGAGAGAGAGAGGGATATGATAGAGAGGGGGGGACGAGATAGAGTTATAGGAGCGAGAGGTAGAGGAGAGATAGTGGCTGAGGAGATAGAGTGAGATGGCTCTAGGTCTATGACTACTCTGGGCGCGTCTGCTACTCTCCCTTTATTTTTCTTTCTGTGAATAGAGGTATGGTTCAAAGTTGATACTAAAAATTTGAAGAACTTTCGCAATCAGTGCTGTGCGGCAAAAGCAATTTGGGGGTGATCCATTATTTTGCTGGTCCCACCCCAAAAAAACTACAATAAAAATTTGCAGATGAGCTTCTTCGCTGAAAGTCTCAGCCATAAGAATGGTAGGAGGAAGAAGGGAGATGGAGAGAGTGGGAGAGAGAAGGAGACAGAGAGGGAGAGTGACTGCTCTCTCTCTCTCTCGTCTCTCCTCCGAGAGAAAGACAGGCCAGCTGGCGTACCTCTACCTGTTGACAATCCTGGACGGACTGTGGGTAGTTTCTGAGGGCCACGTCTTTCTCGAGGTCCCACAGAGAGATGACGCCCTGCTCGTAGCCGATGAGGAGCTGGTGACGGTTGGCAGGGTTGAGAGAGAGACAGCGAACTGAGCCGAGGTGGTTCTTTGCTGTCGGCTGGATCCTGAGGAGGAGAAGAGAGAGAGACGGTATAGGATTTTGTTGCACTGCACTCTGCAGCTATGGGCTATAGCATCGAGGATAGTTGGCTGGCCTGTCCTTCCCAGCACTTGTTCGATCTAAAAGTTTAGGCCACCATATTTTGCACAATGAATCACTCCTGAGGATTATCTCGCACTGCGGAGTGTAAACCAGACAACCACATAGTGGCTCATGTGTGTACAACAGGAACAGGCTGAGGGGAGAAATCAGTGGTCATATGAGATATCACCGTTGGACAACTGAAGCCGCGCAAAGACCAGCAGGATATTGCCAGTACACACACCATCACAGAGCAGGTTGAGGACCCACTCACGCACGGAAGAGGACCCATCGTTTCTTGCCTTCTCTTTAGCTCCTTTCCCCTAACCCTGAGTACACACCCAACCAGCATCCATCCTTTGAAAAATAACAGTTTGGGGCCTTTGCGAGCCGAAACCGGTCACACAGAATTCACGTAAAGCTCACAGGGCAGTGGCCGTGTTCCAGTAGATGATGTCAGTCTCCAACATAAACTTGCGGAGATCGAGGACGAAAATGTTGCCGCCCTCTGTGCCCAGGTAGAATCTGCCACTGACTTAACTGACACAAAGAAAACACCGACAAAAACACCCTACGCACCGAACACCGCGTAATCGTCTTCCCACTGTGGGGGAGGTTGAGGATCGAGTTATGCTGAGAGATGGGAAGAGGACACGGAAGCACAGATATGTGACGCACGTCATAATCTCGGTCATCACACATTCAACAGCGGATATAGCTACAGCACTATCCCCTTTCACATTGACATTGTGCACTGACACAAAACCCCAAAAAGACCACCCTGACACCAAACCCTACAATCACATGTATTATATATGTATTGCATTAGATGACATTTATTATATAGCATTGTACCGACAGTAATACTCCAGGGACCACAGTAATGTGGTATACTCCAGGGACCACAGTAATGTGGTATACTCCAGGGACCACAGTAATGTGGTATACTCCAGGGACCACAGTAATGTGGTATACTCCAGGGACCACAGTAATGTGGTATACTCCAGGGACCACAGTAATGTGGTATACTCACAGGACCACATTAATGTGGGTGTATCTCAGACCACATGTATATGTGTATCTACTCCAGGGATCATCGACAGTATGTTGTAGTACTCCAGTACCACAGTAGTGTGTGTATACTCCAGGGACCACAGTAATGTGGTATACTCCATGGGGACCACAGTAATGTGGTATACTCCAGGGACCACAGTAATGTGGTATACTCCAGGGACCACAGTAATGTGGTATACTCCAGGGACCACAGTAATGTGGTATACTCCAGGGACCACAGTAATGTGGTATACTCCAGGGACCACAGTAATGTGTATACTCCAGGGACCACAGTAATGTGGTATACTCCAGGGACCACAGTAATGTGGTATACTCCAGGGACCACAGTAATGTGTATTACTACTGTACGTAATACTATTACTATACTAGCCTCACACACTGATATTTAACTCTCTTTGCACGATCTACCAACAATTTTACTCCATCTGCTCCCACACACTATTATATTTAATTAACCCCTTCCTACCCATCGGGATCGAGAGTGAGAGAGTCCTTCTGCTCCAACGAGGGGGAATTCCCCTCTCCCCTCACGCTCCTCTTCCTATCCGAATCTCACGCTCCACTCTATCCCACCCTACTCTACTCCACATCTACGAGCATCCAGAATAGACGGTGTTTGTTACTGCTCCACGGTGAGGATCTGGTGGCTCCCGGTGAAGGTGGATATGCTGGTTATGGCGGCCTCGGATTTAGCTGTAGCATGAGAATTCAACACCTGGCTGGCCGTACCTGAACACACCTCGTCAAGGATGATTGTATGACAGTGTGAGTGTGGGAGGGAGGAGGGAGGGAGGGAGGACAGTGGTATTATATCATGCAGTAGTAAGAAATGGAGGATACACTCTCAGTTCCCCATTCTTGGTTCCAATGTATAGGAGACTGTAATGGGGTTCAAAGGCCATGGCTGTAGCGATCCTTGGGGAAGCCATGGTAGGCCGTCTGAGGGAGGAGGGAGGGAGACGAGCGTATGAAAACACATGAAAACACATGTAAGGAAACAAATGAGTGACTACGATACACAGAGTGCACGGAGCCAGGCACGTGCTGTAGAAGAAGCACGCTCATAATCCGTACTGGGATGCACATGTACATACAGTATTGGCTGCTTACATACATGTAATAATACACAATAATACTGCGCCTCCCAGCAGCAATGTACGTATGTAGTATTTGTAATGTATAGACTTGTGTTTTCCTGTTTCCTGACATGTACACATGTAGATGGACATGCTCTGATAACTTAATGGGAACTGTATAGGGACCTTGTTATGTATATAGGTGGTCACCACCATGCACCGTAATGTAGGGGAAATGACAATCAGAACTCATGGAAATTGATCTTCAGTATGAATCACGCCGTGTTCAGTATAGGGCTTCCGACCGAGGGAGTGTGTCACTAGTCTAGCTAGAGATTTTGCTGGTGTCGGCCAAACATGAACTGGACATGAGCCCTGGAGAGTTGAAGTTGCCAGTGTAACATGGGGAAAGCCTGACAGTGCAGTCCAGGTGTCCCTAGTCTGACCACCAAAGACCCAACAACAGAGAGAGAGAGAGAGAGCACTCAGCCATGGCGAGTGAGTAGTGGTCTATAGTCCACATCCTTGTGGTTGCGTGTGGACTGACAATTGCGCTCCATTGACCAGTGATGTAAGCCAGTGGTATTCATGCTCCACTAAGGAGGTGAGAAGTTGACACATTCATGCCCATGTATACACTTCAGCTCTTGTACAACTACACAGAGTTTCAGCCTCTTACATTACGACCGCCTCCGGTGCAGTAACTAAATCAATGTGCACACACATAGAACAATCTGCCTCTCTAACCTGTACACCTCAGCTTTGGAAACATATACACACTACACTTCTACCGTTACAATGCTGCATCTATACACAGGCGGAGCAGAATACACCATCTAGTCACGCACAGTTTTACTGCTGCCCGTTGGGGTATACAACATCCCCCAACAGCCATATATGAAAGTACACAGCAAATAACCACATGTCCCAACAATGCATGTGGGTGGTCCAAGACTTGCTACCAGCACCCCCACCAATTAGCAGAGGGTCCGGTGAATTAACACATGTCATCTGAGAGCGACCACTCCACCCGCCCAATTGCATAACCGGAATTCCTCAGCCTCAGCTATGGTAGCTATGACAAGTTCCTTTCTACCTCCCTCACAGAAATCCCCCCATTCCTTACTCCACAAACAAGCTTTTTGGAGAAATACACCAAGCCTTTTGGCTTCACCGACGTTGCACACAGCCTAAAAGGCATCCCATCCCACGAGCTCCTAACATGCTGCCCTACATGTTTGCATCGCCAGCACCAGTAAAGCATTACTCAAGGTATGTAACTGCCCCTGCGCCCATGATACGCACAGCCCCGAGCTCTTCCTGCTCTGTCTTGCTCGCGTACACATCGCTAGCACCGCGCAAACCGTCCACTCACCTTTCTGAAGGTGAAGTGCTCCCGCGAGAGCGGGTCGATCTTAGCAGAGCCGCCCTTCCTCTTTGTCTTGGGCATGTTTCCTCCTCCGCTGTCGAATCTTCTGTTGCGTCAGGACTCAAGATCTTGCTGACTGCACGCACGGAGAGACACCGCCGAGTGGAGAGAGAGAGAGCAGGCGGGTATCCGAGCAGGCAATTTGTTTGCAACAACCTACCACCAAGCAACGAGCTAGCTAACTGCAAACTGAAACTGCAAGACACCGCCCTGCCCTTAGTTCTCAAGGTGGGTGTGTTTGAGAATACGGAAGATTACGTAGGAGATAAACGGAATAGTATCCGGAGGGTCAACCAACGCCTTCTTTCCTCTTCTGCTTTTTGCAGTCTGGCTGTCGGCCCAACTGAGACAAAGGGGTGCAGCCACCGCGAGGTTCTTTACCTCGCACCGGTTATTGTAACACCGTTCTAGTTCTCTACCTAGGGTAAGCTAGCTATCTACAATGAACCACGTCTGCTCATGGCATGCACTTTGCTCTGTTTTTTTCTGTTCAGGCAGAAATGAAAGCAGTGTTCGGAAAGACGATTGGCGGTATATCGTACCTCACCAGAGGCACCTACAACGTCCTCACGTCTAGATTCAGGAGATCAGAAACTGGGGAACGGAGTGAGAGTGGGGAGAGGGCAGGGAGCGAGCGAGAAATGAACCCTCTCAATGGAGTGTCTGCAGTGGGGGACCACAGTCTGCCAGATCCCTCCCTCTCCTCCTCCAACACCTCCCCTAGTCTCCGGCGACATCCTGCCTCTCCCTTGCAGGAAGACGACATCCTCTACCGTAAGAACAACGTCTACCTCAAGTGTAGAATCGGCTCCGCTGATACCGGAGACTCTGAAGCCACACCCACTAACGGAGGTTCTAATCCGAGCGCAGCCATACGATCCCTCCGAAATCTAAAAGCCGCCTCACTACCCGTGGAGAGCAAGCAGAAAGAGGGAAAAGTGCCAGGGTTTCTATTTATCACCAGTCGCGGAGCCAACTACGGGTCGACGCTCATCCTAAACTGGGCTCCCAACAGCTCCATTATAAAGTGTTCTGGGAGCATCAACTCCACCATTTGCACAGCGGGGGAAGCGAGCAGTGATCATACCACCTCACACGAGAACGAGAGGGGCACAATCGACGAAGCAACCCCTCAGTCCCCGTCGTTATCTTCAATTCCCAACGAGCAACCCACCTCCTCCTCTTCCTCCTCCTCTTCCTCCTCTTCCTCTCTCCCTGCCACTTCTACCACGACTGTCGCCACGCGAACTGAGCACAAGTGTGTGTCAATCGATCTCGGGGAGATGGAGATCATTCGCGTCTTCTACCACACCGACGAGAGCGGGTGTAAAATATCCGGAGAGATGGTAGTGAGCAGCAGACAGACTGATTTCTGGGTCTTTCAGTTTCAAAATGGCGGACTCACTGACCTGATTCATCTGTTCTGTTCCTGGGACTATTTCAACCACCAGGAACACAGGTATATAGCACATTTCTTGACCTGAGCTACATCAGTCCCTGACAGTGTTCACTGCAATTTTTTTTCACTCAGCCTAGTAAGATGCACATCGTCTTCACGTGTTGTGTGTGTGGAGTTTTATTGAACAAATATGATGCCAAAACTTAGATTTTTGCCAAAGTATTAGCTCTTCACTTAGCACCATACTGTCCCTCCTCCCCTCCCTCTTTTCTCCCTTCCCTCCCCCATCGATCTGTTCCACAGGGAGTCCCAACAGCACACGTTCACCATATTCCGCCCGAAGCTCTCTCTCTCCCAGCTCCACCCGGGGGAGGGAGAGGTAAAGTCGGTCCTCACCAGAGAACTCTGGGATGGACTGTTTGGACCTGAAGGCAGGATAGCCGAGAGTGACTGTGTGAAAAAGGTTAAAGAAAATGTGGCGGTATATACATATATAATGGCCAAATTTAGAAACTGTTATATACTAAGAATGGAATTATATTCGGTAGCATTTCTAAATTTAGACCTTATGTCTGTCAAATTGGCTTTAAATTTGTTTGTGGAAAATTGTGCAGAAATGGGACTAATACGTACTCTGGTGATGAATAAAGGCCTTGTGGTGAAAAAGACAAAGTTTTTTCAACTGCTGTATGTTTATGGACACACAGGTGGTGTTCTTTCATGGGGTTTCCCCTTCGTTAAGGAAGGAGGTGTGGCCTTACCTGCTGGGTCTGTATCAGTTTGACTCGACCTCGCGGGAGAGAGAGGCCGCCAGACTGACCCACTGTCGCAGATACTGGGCCCTCGATGACCAGCGGTAAGTAGGGTCTTGAAGAACGGAACATTCTGCATGTCAAGTTTGTTGCCTCCTTTTAAAAAAGCAATCAAGTTTGGGAGAAATAATATTCCAGTCCTGAATCTAGAGACTTCATTGCCTCAAGAGTTATTGCAACAATAGCGTGGCCTACACTTTCTAGTTTTTAGCAAGTAGGTGGAGGAAGGGACAGGCCAACCAACATAATATCCTCTGACAATAGCTAGAGATTGCAGTGCACACAAAACACATAGAATTGACTGTCCTTCTCTCTCCTTCTCTCTCCTTCTCTCTCCTCCTCTTTCTGAACAGGAGAAGGATCCAGTCAGATGAGAGTGGGCAGGGAGAGGAGTGGGTGGTGGGAGTTCAGCAGATTGACAAAGACGTGGTGCGGACGGACAGGTCTCATCCTTACTACAAGGGAGACAGGGAGGAGGGGAGGCGCCATGTCGGGACACTGAAGTATGTCTGTAGATTGTGTAGTGAGGTCCCTTCACATGAGTTTGGGGTTGTTCAACGGCATCGCTGGGGATGTGTGCTAATGAGATACTCTTTACTAATGGGGGAGGGCAGAGGAATTGTTGCATGTTATATATAGACACCGTAAAGAGTGCTCAGAGGTGGGGTTATAATGGGTAAAAACCTCCCCACACTCCCCTCACAACCAAAAATCCTTACTTTATGCTGTCCTGTTGTATCCCTGTCAATCTCTTCTCTCTCCTTCTTCCTCCCTTTCGTAGGCACATTCTGCTCAACTACCTTATCCATAAGCCAGGACTCGGCTACTGTCAAGGTATACATATGTACACACCGTTGAAACACCAAGATCACCGTTCACATTATAGTACGATGCCCTGACGTGAGTGATCATGGTGTGTGTGTCTGTCTGTGTGTACCCCAGGAATGACAGACTTGCTGGCTCCGCTACTGGCGTCCATGGAGAACGACGTGGAAGCGTTCTGGTGTTTCGAGAAGCTGGTGGAGGGAACCGCCTACTTCAAACCCGCAGACAATCCCGTCTCCGTCGAAAAACAACTGGTGAGCCGAGAAACTGTGAGGCCAATGTTTCTTGGTCTGTTTCCACTCCTTTGTAGCCCGAGCCTTCAAAATGCAGTGCAATAGAGCCAAGGACTGAATTTATGCATTAACCCTTTTATTTTCAACCCAATTTCTTTGTTGACCCCTTAGGAGCTGCTGAGGATGCTCATCAAGCAGCTGCTTTAACCTAACCCATTTTCTGTGTTAACCCTGTAGGAGGCACTGAGCATGTGCATAAAGTAGCTACTTTAACCCTCTACTTTTTACCCCAATATCTTTGTTAACCCCTTAGGAGCCGCTGAGGATGCTCATCAAGCAGCTGCTCCCGTGGTTCCACTCTTACTTGGAGTCCACCGAGAACGGTCTCTCCCTCATGTTCTGCCACCGCTGGCTCCTCGTCTGCTTCAAGAGAGAGTTCTCCGAAGAAGACACTCTCGCCGTGTGGGAGGCGTGCTGGACCAACTACGCCACCGCCTCGTTCCACCTGTTTGTCTGCATCGCCGTCATGGCGATATACGGCCAGCGAGCCGTGGAGAAACAGATGAACATCAACGAACTGATGGTGTTTTTCAACACTCTCTCGCTGACCATGCCCCGGGAGTTGGTCCTAACACAGGCACGGGGATACGTACACCAGTTCTGTACTAGTAAAACCGCCCACTGTACGCTGGCTTCGCTTATGCCCCCCGAGTTCTGGCTCTGTTCCACGTCACCCAGACTGGAATGCGGACTGTGCCGTGGGCTCAGCACCAGCTGCGAGAGTAGAGATTTGCAAACGACACCCATGGAAGCCCTCTGCTAGAGTTGAATTGAAACTTACAGCCCCCACCTCTCACTCTGTCACATGTTAAATCATAATTTTAAGTGTGTGTTTGAAATCACTTTTTACTTCTATGATTTCCCTGCAATGTGTGTGCATTATTGAATATTTCCCAGAAAGAGACTTGAGTATAATAATTACAGTACATGACACATCAATAATTGTAATTTTTACCACAAGTTAATTACTTGCTGCTTGGCTATAGGGTCTAATTTCACTAAAATGTGTAAGTGGCAGTGTTAAATTCTGCGAAACTCAGCAGCTTTTGGTCGGATTTGCAATTGTCCACCCCACAGCTATAGTAATCTACATTGTCTGGAAAGTGGCTAAACTGTCGAATCCTGACGTGCCACACTTGGCTCCGGCCAGCTGACAGGCAAAGGTGAGGGCCGCAGGAACCGAGTGATTGGAGGAGAACTTGTAAATGAAGCCAGCGTTGAACGTGTCGCCCGCTCCTAGAGTGTCCACCAGCTGGGGGGGTGGCCTAGCTGGACTGGTGTAGGTCTAGGGGGGAGAGAGAGAGACTTGCCTTATCTCTCATTTTGTGAATGCACATGCACCCAAAAAACACAGCGTACCTCAGGCAGTGAAATTATTATTCATTCTCATATTAAATTTAATGAATAGAGCGAATTTGCCCCAATGAAAAAAGCTATAATGGATTACCTTTCCAGTGGAGTCAGTAGCTGCAGCTCCTTTATCTCCCCATGCACACACAACCACTGCACTGCAAACAGTATTACGTCATTATTACATCGTTGTGATCATTCCTCACTCTGGTCTTGTCAGTGATCTAAAGCCTGTCACGGCCTCTTCCATGGCCCCGTATCCTCTGTACTGCTGCATACTCCTTGCTGAAGAACACCTCCAGTGGACAATACGGGTTAGCACTAACGATACCCACAGTAGTTTGCACCTGCCCACGCTAGTTTAGCTGCGAGACACTGCGTGTGGTACATGTACGTACACCAGCGAGTATGGTATCTGACTTTATTGTGCCGTCTTTTAGCCTGCTAAACTAGAGCAAATGCAAAATCGCTAATCGTGGCTGTAGGGGAGAGACTGACCACGTCGGCCAGTGACGCCAGCTGAGCACTCTCCTCTAGTCTCTTCTCGAGTTCCACAGATCACACCAGGACTACCAGCTCCCCCTCCTCCTCTCGCCCTCGTCAGACTCTGTCCTATAGGACAATCAAGACTCTGTCTCATATAGATTTGGTGTAGAACTAAGTAGGAATGGCCCTTCTCGGCTACCATATTAGAGTGACGTAGACGGTTATGTGTCGCATCACCGAAAATCGGCCCGTTGCAACGATCGACGACTCGCTCCCGCTCGCCAAATAGTCAAAGTAATGGGCGAGCGAGCCCGCTCTGCAATTGTGGCACACAAGTTTAACAGCATTGCATACTGATCATGACAATTGCAAATGTAGCTATATGTTTCAGATATTTAGGCAATAATTGCGGGTGGAATATTCTATATAAGTTACGACGCACCGTCCGCCGTAGTTATACACATGCGCCGATATTACGCGCTTCAGCGGGGCCCGGTGGTTCAGTTCGCGTCCAGCAACGATACTGCTTCTGTTCACAGAGGTAGACAGACAGAACACACCGCGGTCGAAAGTCCTCACGACCGAGATGTTAGCTTGTCTTTCTCAGTGACGATTACGAGATCGAGAGCGGGCAAGGCAACTATACTGCTTCTGTTCAACAGAGAGAATCCCGGCCGTTGAAAGTCCTCACGACAGAGAGGCTCGTCTTTTTCAGCGACGATTAAGAGATGGAGAGCGGGAGCGGGCAAGTCAACATTACTTTTCCGTTGCTAGTTTCTTCTGGTAGTTTCACTTTGACAACACCATAATAACTTCTGTTACCTTTACCTGTAGGTACGTAGCTAGTTACGATGATGGTTGTGTATATTTGCGCTACAGTACGGCTCGCTCCGCTCGCCCAAAGAATGGCAAGCATTTCCACTAGTTATTTGCGAGCGGGAGTGAGCCAACCTATAATTACAGCTATAAGTGGAAAAATCTTTTCTTCAAAATGAAAGGGGGATATAGGGGTGGCTTGAAATACCAAAAAGGAAGAAACAAGGGGTCATTACACCGCAAAGTTGCACAAAGCTACATGACACCATCCCTATATCTTTGTTTGATATTGTTTGATATTAAACTTTGCTAATAAAGCAAAGATAATTATAGGGATGGTGTCATGTAGCTTTGTGCAACTTTGCTGTGTAATGACCCCTTCTTTCTTCCTTTTTGGTGCTTCAAGCCATCCCTATATCCCCCTTTCATTTTGAAGAAATTCCACCTGATTCCACTATTTTTAACAGCTTTTAGCAACACTGCATTTATTGCTTGATGTCCGTGCACACCTCCGGCGAAATTGGAGACCTTCAGTGAAAAAATCAGTGCTTGGACTGGTACTGGTAAGGAGATAGCGGGTTAGAACAAGAAGATGAAGAATCGTGAAATCGCGTATTCTCGCGTGGACGACTGAAGGTGCGTATGAGCTCTTGGGGGACATCCCTATATAGATCCCTATATAGAGAGTCTACCGACTCTCTAATAGTCGTTGGTTCGAGCGGAATTTATTATACGACTGTCGTACGTCGTATAAGTGCGCATGCACGGCTTTGTACGCGCTTCTTTACTATTCCCCATTTTCACACACGGTGCCTCGCGATATGCGGCGATCGATCTATATAGCCAGCTAGAGAACTCTCCTCCATTCGACGCCATGCGCTGCAACCTTCGGTGACTGACCGAGGCTGTATAATACCTCTTCCCAATCGTCATGGTTCCAAGCTGCAACTTGCAAATACGCTAGGATTGCTCGTGCACATACTGCTGCATGCCAGCTGCCTGGTGGACCAGCTAACACACGCCGCGTTGTCGGGCAGCCTGATATCGATCGCTGCCTAGCCTACTGCCATGCCAGCTGCCTGGTGGACCACGACAGACGAGCTGAAAGCGTAAGGTAAGGACCGTTCTGCTCACCTGCTCACCGTTCTGGCAATATACAGTACGCATGTAACGGCGACAGGTAGCTCTGTCTTGCTTCACGAAAGGAAAGCTGTGCTCTGACGGAACGTTATGCAGCCCGAACATCGCGGACAAATCCCAAGTTGGGTCGCTCCCGCTCGCCAACAATGTTCAACATTCTTCTAGTTATGTTAGTAGTGTATACACCATAATACAAAATGACTCTAGCTACCCATCTAAGGCAGACCGGTCATAGTAAGTACAACACTGTCAAAGAATGGGGTGGAAGGTGATGTATTCTAGCTACCACTATAATATATCGTCCAAGAAAAGCATTTAGCTGCAGTTAGTGTTTATCCTGAGATACCCAAACTTCTCCTCCATCATCACGTCAATCTTGCTCACAATTTCACAGAATCTTGGTCTTTGCTGTGGAACAGTATTCCAACAGCTCAACAACAGCGAGTACCTATAGAAAGAGTTGGAGATATCTTGATCCGTGTTTTAGCTAAAAGTCAGGGGCATCAAACCGCATTAGCTACACACAGAGGACCCAAAAGTGGTTAACATCCTCTCTAAGTGTGTTATCACTTACAGGCAAGTAAACTTTGCTTACTTCCAGGACTAGGTATAGCTGTGCTTTAGCATGCTGCACAGCATGGTGTTATAAGCTATAGCTGGCAATTTTTTTGCATGAGTCAACAACAAGGTAGCAAGGTAGCTAAGGCAAAGCAAACAAGTAAACTACAATTTTTGCGTGCATCCATCTTGTGCTATTTGCACTTAATAATAACTAGTGGAATATTATATCATTTCTGTGAAATGATATAATAATGAACAAGAAGATGCCTATACACCGAGAAAGAAAGTCATTTATAACCACATGCCTACATCTTTGTGTTTCAATCATTAGCTGGTCATGAATGCATGAGCATGTATACTTTAGCAAGAAAGAAACAAATATGTAGGATTTCCACTTGTTTCCCTCATTTTTGATTTGAGTAAAAGCCACAATAAAAATAAATGTTAGACAGCTATATAGCTGCTATACATTTGTACACATATCTGCATCATTATGGTACGAAGTGGCAGAAGCAGAGGCACTGCTATATACAGTGTCTAATAAGGAAGTGGCAAGCAACTGTCCAGGAAAAAGGCTAAGTTTCGCCCAGTTGGCAGTAAAATAATGGCGTCGTTCACTGGTCTTCCGTGAAAAGAGACGTAGGAGAGGAGAAAAAACGATCGCTCGATGTGCGCGCACAAGCGCTATAATACTATAGCTACTCGGTAAGGAGATAGCTGAGGATGAAGACACGAAAACGCATAGGTCTCAACTGCTGAATTAGGTATACCGATTTTCCACAGCCTTGTCCCGTCCATCACCTTGCTTGTCCCGATTTCTCGGACGTATAGCTACTTGCGCGGTAGTGAAAAAATAACGTTTGCACCAGAGCAACGAAACATGGACTGCGTATTATGTCAGTGCACTGTTGCTTCAAGCATAGACTCGTAACCGGCGAGCGATCGCGGGAAAATACTAGTGGGCGGGTCCTGAACTGAACCATACGCGCATGCGCATTGAGCAAGATATCCCGATTAATAGTCCCACCTCCTACTCCTTCTGGAAGGTTGAAAACGGGTAATGAGATTCCAATCAGGAGCCTGTCAGGCTGTAGAGTAAGCAGAAGTAAGTTTGTATTTTGCTTAGCTTCAAAGACCCCCCCCCCATCCTTCCTCCACGTCCACGGTGCCCGTTGCCCCGAGGTTCTCGCGTGGAGAAGTAGAGGCAAGTAGGGTAAGATGGGCCTGTCTGTGATTTTTGACTTGGTTTTGAAGGCTTTGCTCTCCTTT